TGAGAAATGGGGCGTTGGTATTTACCTGACACGCCCTTTCTCTGTGAGCTGTGAAGAGCATCCATTGTTTGGGATGATGCTTCTGTCGCTCGTTTGATAGGCTGGGCTTTAATTGAGAGGACGCTCCTCCTCCTCCACGGGACTCCTCCCTAGCGTCCCCAGTTTTGGCGAAGTCAAAGTGATGAAATATTTCTTCTCCTTCACCCTTTCTAATACTTGGCCGGAATAGCATCCCACCAGACGAATAAGGGTGGGGATGGATGTTCTTCACAGCTCACAGAGAAAGGGTGTGTCAGGTAAGTACCAACGCCCCTTCTCCAGATGAGCTGTTCAGAGCATCCATTGTTTGGGACATACCAAAGCTTGGCGTGTCCTACGGGAGGGCTTCCGTCTGGTTCGGATTCCCCTTTTCTTGGTCCCTATGGACACTTTGTAACACTTTCCTGTCAAAGGCAGCCTCCGTAGAGGCGAAGACATCATTCTAATAGTTTCTAAATAAAAGGCGATGGTGAGGCCCATGTTGTCGCCTTGTAAATTTTCGCTATTGGCGCTTGTGGCCCATGTTGTCAACATCGCAGCGTTCCAGGTCGAATGAGCAGTGATGCCCCTGGGTACAGGAAGAGATTTTGTCTCATAGGACTTGGGAATTGTGCTCTCAGCCACTTACTGGTCATTGAGGAAGGGGTCTTGCACCCAATGGTGGGTAGTTGAAAAGAAACAAAGAGAACCTTTGTTTCCTAACACACATCGTGCAGTTGAAATATATGCAGAAAGCTCGCCTTACATCTAGATTGTGGCATTGTCGTGCCAGATTTTATGTCGGTTTCAGACAAATGTATGGAAGTATCAGTTCCTATGGTCTGTGGAAACCCAAAATTATCTATGGGTGAAAGATGGACCTGGACTAAGGACCACTTTGTCTGTGTGAAAAATACAGAGCTCCTGTCTAACTGACAAGACTACTAGATCCAAGATGTTACTGGCCGATGTAATGGCAACCAAGAGAACCACCTTGTACGTTAGGAATGGAGATGCATGGTCTACACGGGCTCAAAGGGAGTTTTCTTGAGTGCGGTAAGGACCTTGTTGAGGTCCCACGTGTGATATCAATGCACTACAGGAGGCTGTAAGATTGTAGCCCCGTGCAAGAAAATGGCATATGCGTGGGTGATGAGAGATGGACTGCAAGTCTCTCCTAGTGATGACCGATGCTAAGGCCTCTCCTTTGCCTGTTTATATGAACAGGATAATAATGAAATGTCATATAAATAACACTGCCATCTAACAGGTGTTCCCCTGAGATGAACAGCCAGACCCATCAGAACCTTCATAAGAACCTTGGGCAGATGACAGTACAATGTATTCAAAACATTTGAGTATTATAACAAAAACTAAGAGTTTTGCTATGTGAGGATCTAATTGGAATGTGGGGATGGGCCTCCATTAAGTCAATGGAGGGTAGAAAATCGCTCCTTCTGAAGCTCAGAAGTATGGAGTTCAGTATGCTCATCTTAAGCCTCCTATGAACTATGGATCAATTAAGTCATTTTAAAACTAAAATTGCCTCTGCTGATCTGGTGCCACAGGTTGGTTGCCTGGATCTCCAATAAATGAACAATAGCTGTCTCCATCATGCTCCCTTTAGCAGGATCCCCAGAGAGAAGGCAAGTAATGCAAAGGTTCCGGGGAGAGGATGGAAATTCTATAGCCAGGCCTAATCTTCTGATACCTCTAACCCAGGAAACAGAGGTAGAGGCATCCCATCTGTCCGTGAAAGGCTTGAGCCTTCCACCAATAGGGGCACAGTCGTGAGGCCTATGTTGTGCCTCGGAGACCTCTATTTCATGTTCCTCAAGAGATTCTTTTGCTCTGCCCTCCCCTTCAGTATCTATCTCCAGATTGGAAACTATCTGACTGTTGGTGATTCATGCGTCCAGATGGTCCCTGGAGTCTGGAGAGAAAAAGTCCCCGGTAGAGGGAACGAAGGAACCCTCCAAAAAGCTGAGAAGAACTATTTTGGGGTCTATGAAAAGAGAGGAACTTATTTTCTGCTTCTAGTCTCTATCAGAGATAGGTCGGGGCACCACCAACCAAATTATCTCCCTATACTGGGGAGGAAGCAAGCTTCCATTAGTTGTGTGATATCTGCTTGCCAATGTCTGAGCCATAGCAGTAGGCGAGGAGTAACCTGAGATGCCCTGGCTTGAGCAGATAATTTAATAGAGTTTTGCGGCGTCCTTGTGTGCCCTGATATTGGAATTTGAGATAATCTCCCTCAGATGGCGGAGCAACCTGAGAGATGATCTAGTAAAAAAAAGGGGGGGGGATGAGGCCGACTCCGCTCTTATGGCCCTCACATCAGATAGACATGCCCTACATGGGGACAACTCGACCCATGGGGACAACTCGATCCTTTGACTTGAGAGCCTCTTCTGCTTCTGTTGGACTTGCAGAGAAGGATGATAATTGCCATTATTGTTTTATCTACTATCGTGGTGATGAGAAATTTAGCAGAATGAGAAAACCAAATTAAAAATTTGCTATCATATCCTGTAAATCGGCTCAGCAGCACTTCCACACCTTGTGGGGAGTCGATACTGCAGAGTTTCCCCTTGAATAAAAAGGCGCGGTGGGGCAGATGGGCGCTGATGCCCCCACCCCAGACGGTGTTCCCAGGGGAGAGAAAAAAGCCGTGGACCCTTTTAAAATGGAGCCTCTCCCATCGGGAGCGGGCGACGGCAATCGTAGCGGCGGCAGTGATCGTAGCGGCTCGGCTTGAAAAGATCGTGATGTGAGTTGTTAGCCATGCAGCTGAGGTGTTATCACCTCCTATCATCCGGAGGGGCGAGAGATCATTATCTGAAGCTATGGTGAGCTCCCTTGGCTTGAGTTATATATCATAGGGAGCTGCTTGACTCATTGAAACTAAAAGCCTTAAAGGAGTTGTTTAGAGTTTAAAAGCAAACCTTTTTGTTGACTCCTTTTGAAGCCTTTGCTATTCTGGCCAAGGGAAAGGAAATTAAGCTGCCTATATCCACGAAGGCTGAGCAAAAACTGGGGACGGTAGGGAGGAGTCCCGTGGAGGAGGAGAAGCGTCCTCTCAATTAAAGCCCAGCCTATCAAACGAGTGACAGAAGCATCATCCCAAACAATGGATGCTCTGAACAGCTCATCTGGAGAAAGTGCTGATCAGGGGACTTGCTCATCTGGAAACTAGTATGCAGCCTATCTGGTTCCTTCTGAAGACAGATTCAAATGAGATTCCTTAATCAGATAGTGCTATGAAAGAGTACATCCACACCACCAGAATGTATACAACCATTTCCCTCACAAGACAAATTGAAATTAGATGCATAGTCAATATTATCCTAACATCAAACTAGACTGTACCAATGTTTGTGGTACTTGTAAACTGAATGATCACAGAGAACATAATCCAATGAGTGCTCTCCCTTTTTCCTTCTAGCTGACAAATAGAAGAAAGTAAACAATATTTTTAACTGCTGTCCTCTCCCTGAATTACCACTGGTTATGAAAAATAAAAATCTCCTTACCATATCACCCAAAAAGAAATAAGACTTCCTTTCTATGACCTTCATTTCTTTTGTACATATTATTTACTTGGGACATTTGTGTGCAAAATATCTCACAAGTCTATTTATATACATTTTTATATCTGCCAAAATAAATCAATAAATCTGAAATTGCTGTGGAGGGAAAATCAACGTCCTTGTGATTTACAAAGGTGGCAGGACAGCATGCAGCAATTTTTCATCCAAGTACTTGGCTATGACCAAGGCTGCACACTACTCTGCCAGTTGGGGGAGGGAGGAGATATAAGTATTAAATAATGCATATATGAAAAGAGATCAGAACAGTTTTAGGAACAGGATGCTTAACCTCTATGGGGAAGAGTAGCTTTATTGCAGCTGCTGCATAACGTTTGAGTTGGACTCAGAAACTAGGAGTAGGGGGAAAATTATCTCCAATGATAGTGTTACCAACAAGAGTACATAACTGCAACACGAGATTCTTGGAAACTTTGTGATTCAAAAAAACCCTGAACTCAATACCACTTTCAACTCAATAACCAAATATAGATAAAATCATGAGAATAAATCAGATCATGTACTGATCCCAAATGGTTCAAAACGTCAATTTGTTAATACTCAAAAGATTTATATTATCAGAAAGTAGAAATATTTTTAGAAACTTCAAATCTAGTGGCAGAGGCCAGAGTGTGTGTAACACTGTTAAAAATAAAACACAGGTAGTCTTCGACTTACAACAGTTCATGTAGTGACCATTAAAAGTTGCAACAGCACTAAAAAAAGGTGACATGACTGTTTTTCACACTTACAACCATTGCTGCATTCCCATAGTTCAGGTGACCAACTGACATATTTACAATGGTTGCAGTGTCCTGTGGTCATGTGACTGCTTTTTGCAACCTTCTGGCAAGCAAAGTCAACGGGGAAATCAGATGCACTTAAGAACCGTGTTATTATCTTAGCAACTGTGGTGATTCACTTAACAGCTCTGGCAACAAAGGTTGTAAAATGGGGCAACACTCATTTAATAACTGTATATATAATTTTTCGGCAAAATTGTGGTTATAAATCGAGGAGTATTTGTAATGGATTGCTAAATAATTCTTTATTCTTTATCCAATTTATCCAATTCTTTGGATTGCTGAAGCAAGAGCAAGAATCATCTTGAAATGGAATAATGCTGTGTTTTAATTCTGGTTCTATGTTTAATTCTACGTTTCACATAATATTTCCCCAAAACTCACTCATTCTAACACCTTGCCTCCTGCAAAGTTGAGAACTATGTCATATTCAACAATCAGATAGAACATCTGACTATTTATATTCAGTGGGCTGAAGATAAACAGCCTATTGAATATAAATGCACAGTGACCGCTTTCCTACAGACATATTTCCTATTCCCTCCTCATCTCAACAAACAACTCCCCCTCTCCCCCTCTACACACTCACTTTTTGAACTGCTCCAGGAAACGGTCTCTGTGGCCTTGGAGTGTATCAGCTGGGAGACCTAGAGAAAAGATATCAAGAAAAAGAGTGAACTGCAGAATATTTGGATGGCTCAGCTAGCCATATCTGTGTGGACATGCAAACAAGAGAATCAGAGGGGCCAGGTGGCACTGCCCATCAGCTGTGACCGACACAGAGCAAGACACGTCCAAGGAACTGAACACTGAAGGGAACTAAACACTAACAGCATGGATTACTTCAATTATCTTGACAAGATGGATAAATTACTAAAATATATATAATGCCTATCTTTTCAGGTTGCACGATGCCACAATGGACCTTTACATCCTTTGCCTTTAAAACTCTTTCTCTTAAGCTCAGATTGAGGGACTCTCAGTTTACTCTGTGATATGGTAAAAACTATCACAGTCTCCTATGTTCCAAGACACTCATATAATGATTGAATGAATGATTCACATCATATTTAATTACATCTTACTTTATAACCTTTCCTCTGCCCTCCCTGAATTTTTTTAAAAAGTAAACAAACAAATCCAATATGGTAACAATAATACTGGCCTATATCAGGTGAGACTGTATTTCTAAAATACGTTTGTGAAACAATTCCAAGATTTGGAAAAAAGCAAAATATGATGAATTAATATATTATTCCCAGGACATTTTTACTGTATAGTAATAAAACCTTATAGGTGATCAGATGGAGAGTGTCTTGGTCATCCTAATTACTGTAGCTAAAAAGAATGAAAGTGGTGATGGAATTCAGGCCAAAAAGGGATAGATAGATTTGTACTTACAGGAGTGTAACTTGAACAGCAATTTTACTGTGTAGTCATAGAGGTGGCTGCAGTCTAGAATGACCTGAATCAGAGGGGCCAAGCGGCACTGCCCGGCAGCTGTGACCGACACAGAGCGAGACATGTCCAAGGAACTGAACACTGAAGGGGAACCACACCAGCAGCATGGATTATTTCAATTATCTTGGCAGGATGGATAAATTCATGTTCTAATCACAGGGGGGGGAAACTTCCAGAAATGCCATAAATAACAATAATCTATAAAAGTGGTAATAACAAAAGTTAACAAAATTAAATTTGAGGGAAATTGTTCCATAAAAGAAAATAAAAGTTAAAAGATGAAATAAAAAACAGAGGAAAAAAATTACTTAGGAGGTTGGGGGGAGGGGGAAAGAGCTAGAGATCTTATGGCTGCTTTACATCTCTGCAAATGTTAAAGACACTTGTTTTAGCTATCAAAAGTTCTCCAAAGCAAATTACATTGGGTATCAATTTTACACTTAGTGTGCCCAAAAAGGGTAATTGGAAGGCATAGACCCTGGGCCACCCAGCCTGCACTAGAACAACTGAATGTACAGGAGAAAGAAATCAAGAAACAAGAACACAAATACAAAAAAATAATAATCCCACAAGGGCCTGGAAATTATGCAGTATATGGAGGGTCCAAGCAATGAGCAGAGGAGCATTAAAAATGTCGACCAAGAGCAAGGATTTACTGACAGTAAAAACTGAAGAACTGATTTAATTCTTAAAATGATTAAATACAAGGATTATACCTCATTAAAACATCTTTCATATTAGACCTAAAGTTCTACAGAACCAACTGCCTATAGTAGCAGAGAACAAAAGCCTGTTTCATGAGATTCAGAGTGCTAAGTAATTTGCAGCGACAGTTGTTGCTCAGGAGAAAGAGAGAAAAGGGACAGATATTGGCCACACTTCAGAAGTAGGCAAATTCTGTGTCATGAACCAAGATATGCAAGGTACCCATCTTAGTAGCAGGAGGAGACAAGGGAAGGGCCCTTCTCCCAGCCTGAAGCCTACTTGATAGTCTTAAGATGTCTCGAAAGGGTGTATTTACTCCTTTTAGTCTGCAGTGGATAAAATTATGAAATACTGATGTTACAGTTTTTCCTTCAGTTTAATGAACTTAAAAATATTCTTTTTTGATGTTAGGCTTATCTGCACAGAAGCATCATGAAAATCTACAGCTGAAAAAGGCTTTGGGCTATGTGGAAAAAAGCCAGAGAAGATGCCTGTATAATCCAACTGCAAGAGTATGTGAATTTTATTGTTTAGGTTATATTTAACCAATGAGCAGAAACATAATATTTTTTTTTCACATTGGTCAGGATTATGAACACACAACCCTCACAATGCCCCTAAACTTCTCACGATATCCCACAATTGATCATCTTATTGTGGATGCTGGGAATTGGAGTTCATATGTAACATTACTACAGTAGTTCCCTAACCTAGGTTTTCTCAATCATCATCTAAATTGCCTATTTGTCTAAACTAGAACAGAAGAAAAGTTTAGGATAATTTCTTATGAGCCATGATCCCCATTAAAGAGATAAAAATGCTTGTGTGTCGGAACTTACAAAGAGTGAACAAACAACTTCTGGAAAATATCTTGCTAAAATATTTAAAATTGTTGTCCTCTGTAAAACATTACCTGTCTGAAATAGGTTGAGTTCACATTCCAAATAGTCAAACATTTCCACAGTGAGCTGGAAACTAAAATGGAAAGAAGAGACTGAATAGAGATTCCTACAAAATAAAATGAAGGTTCAACTTGGCAGAATCACTTTGTGGCTTTGTTTTCCAAGAGAGTAAACTAACAATATTCTACACAGCAATCCAACAATATTGAGAAGGAAAACTCTGGAAGAGCCCACAGGTGCTGCACACAACCTGATTTTTAATTGTTCTGGTTTACCTGAGAAAGAATCCCCCAAAAACTAATTATGAATCCTTAAATCCACAACTGCCCCATAATTCGCACCATCAAGTAGCACTTACAAGTTATTCACATCATTCTCGCCCGTCTCATCAAGCTGTCTGTCTGACATCTGGAGGTTTCCTGGGAATCTGGGATTCTACACAAAAGGACACAAAGATTAAGAACAGTACTAAGGCTCTGGATCAAGGCAGGTCTGGATAATAAGCTCCTGCCAGATACTGTTCTCAGATTCATCTGAGTTTCGGTGCCCAAAAACCAAAGAGGATAATTGGGATGAGAGTAACTCTGCCTGGCAAATTAATCACTTTGGATAGTGTTAGGCTTTATATATAGAAGAGGCATATGTATTTCCTTCCCTCACTCTACTCTTAAACTGAAGTGAGTGCATCTTTGAATCTCATTTTCGAAAGCAGAAAAGGAGACAAAAAAGCATATTTCTTAATTATAGGAAATCATAAAACAGCAACTTCAAAAGAAACAAGAGAACGATAACAACAAAGACTTGCCTACAATGTGGGCTTTAAGAAAACCGAATCTCATAAGAATTAAATAATCCAGGCAGCTGGATATGTTGGTGCTTTGCCAGAGATTCAAAAGCAGTAATTCATTACTGTTCTTCTATTCATAGGCATCCTCCAACCACAAGAGGGAATTACCTTCTCTCACACATACATGTAAGCTGCACTTTGCTAGCCTATGAAACTGCTTATAAATCAGAGGCCTTGAAGACGCTCATATAATCCAAGCTTCCTATTCCAACTAGCCACATTCCATTCTATAAATACCTGCTATCCACTCCCAAATATGATACAGCCTTGAGTCAAATGGGATGGCCTGGAGCTAATCATAATATAAACTACAATGCAAGTTAAGAAGTGGAGGAAAGCCTATAGAATAACATTAAGAGGGTTATATACCAATGATAAAAGACAGATAATGGGGGGGGGAGGTCCACCCACATCGTTTTGCACCTCACTTATATGTGCTTTACAAGTGAATGCACATACATATATGCATGTATCACAGTCCTTATATAATCAACCATTCTGACCCTAAACTCAGATACTTGGGGACACAACACTTACAGATCAGAGAATTTGAAATGGCTGATCCAGATCTTCCTCTAAGATATATAGGGGAAATATATTTGGCTGTGTTAATCATAAGAATAGGCAATACTATGGTGAGAAATTTAGAGGAAAGTTTCTCTGTCTGTCAAAGAAGAAATCCTGCTCAAGCAGGCGGAGATATTGATAATTCTGATATTAAAATGCTAGCAAGACTAGCCTGTATCAGATGCTGGAGTATACTGTAAAGATAGCAATCAGATTAAAAAACAACATTTAGAAATGTAGCAAACTGGCCATTCTCTCTAGCACATCATCTATGGGATCAATAAATTAGTACCATACTACAAATCTTCAGGGCAGTCAAAAGTGTACCAATTACCATATCTTTCAATAAAAGCAGCCAGGGCTACAAATTATATAGACATATTCCAGAATATTCTGTTGTCTTCAAAATGAATGATTTGCATATACTCTTAAAAACTCTGGAATCTTATTTATAAATTAGTTTAATTCTATGGTTTTCATCAGGGAAGTTGCTCCTACTTCTATCCTAGTTTGGAGATCAAGTTCAGGCTACTGTTCATCCCATGGTCTCTACAGCTATCCAAAGTGCTTTGCAGACAAAACGAAAATGGTGAGATACCCTGTTCTCCAAGATGTGCAGAAGCAATAAAGAAAAACTTACTTTTGTGTGGAATTCCATCTTGGTTCTCAGCAATTTGAGGTAGATGCTACATAATTGTCCATAACCCTCACTCAAATGGCCCTAAGGGGGAAAAAAATAACAAGATTGGATTAATCTCTTAATACAGGGGTCCCCAACCCCCAGCCTCATTACTGGGCCATGAGCCATGCAAAACCAGGCCGCCTGAAGCAGTGGGCAAACCCCTGTGCACCCCCACTTGTACAAGCAGCAGGTGAATGCATGTGCTCTATTTACATGAGCAGTGGACGCACGTGCCTGCCACTCACGCAAATGGAGCAGCCTACGCTTGTGCGCTGCTCATGTAGAACCATCCCCTCTCCCCACCCCCCACTGATCCGCAAAGCTGGAAAGGTTGGAGAACTTTGTCTTAATAGTTTAACTTGCAAATGTTTTACCTGGGGAAAACATAGTTCATAGCCCTTTGTGTAAAAATGTATCATAACCACCTTGACCATTATTTCAGGACACATATATTAAATGTATATTTTACTTTTTCTTCTCTTATCCCCTCTGGAATTGTACCATTGACAGTGTCTGTCACTGATCTCGACAAATGTTGTGCTGGTTAGGCCATATCCATGTCTGCCTAAGCACTCTATTTTAATAGGGATTTATCAGCAATATACAAATAGTTTTTTAAGAACCTTACAAACTGCCAGCATTTTTGGGCAAAACTCAGAAGCAGGGGTCTATTGCTGCCATGAATGGGTCAATTTCCTCAGCATTTATTCCTTCCTCCTTTTCAGGGGAAAAAGATACACACATTCTCCACTTAGCTACTTTTCACACATCAAATTCTTGTGCAAATAGCTGTTAAAACTACAACAGCATATTTTAAAGTAAAGCTATACATTTTTATAGTATCCTATTTAGTTATAAAAATAAAAACCTGTGAAATAGTGCTGCAACCAATATCCAGAAGGCAATTATCAGTTCCAATGCTTGAGAAAAGTCTGCATGCCAACTTGGCAAAAGCAGACCTCTACATACCTGCTATTAGCAGGGATACCTGCTATTAGCAGGGATAGAGAGGTTGTGAGTACCAGTTTGTGCATCTTTCCAAGAACTTTGATTTCATTTTTACAGTTAATAATAATTTATTTGTAATAATTTAAAATAATAATTTCTTTCTGAATGTAAAAAAAAAATCACTATTTGTATTCAATCCTAAGATTTTAGTGTCCCTTAAAGGAAAAAAGCAGCAACACACTCTTATGTGGAGTCCCTTTCTTCACCTGAGTTAGCCTTTCTTCAAAGCTATTAAACACTCAAGAAACTGGCCAGCAAGAAAAAGATAAAACAGTTCAGTAAAGCTAAGAAATTAATAGTAGCTAGTATACGCAATGTAAATACTGCTTCCCATGAAGTATGAATTCAACAAAAAGATAACAAGAAATGCCATCTCTTCCATCCTCAATGTGGCCAAAGTTTGGCACATTTGTCTACATTCATCTCACTGATCTGCGGACCTTCTCTAGCCTAAATTTTCAGAAAATACATTACATTACCCAAATGGCCTAAAACAACTCTCTGCTCTCCTGATTTCAAAATGAACAAGAACTTGAAAGGTATGTTTATTACTAAGAGAAGCAGTTCTTTGTAGGCCCAAATAATACTTAGTACTCACCCACATGCGGCTCATGTCACTGAGCTCATTCTTGTATCTCACAGAATCCTTCAAGACCTGCAACAAGAAGGGAAATAGGCTATTTGAGCAGCTAGTGAGTGCCCTCCAGGTCAACAGAACCACCAGAAAAAAATGAAATTAGAGGTTAATCGTCTATTATTGTCAAGTGAAAGAAAAGGAGAGGGCATGTAGCGAAAAGAGCAGTAGCACTTAGACTTATATACCGCTTTATAATGCTTTACAGCCCTCTCAAAGCGGTTTACAGAGTCCGCCTATTGCCCACAACAATCTGGGTCCTCATTTTACCCACCTCGGAAGGATGGAAGGCTGAATCAACCTTCAGCCTGGTGGGATTTGATCTGCCAAATTGCAGTAGGAGTAGCTTGCAGTACTGAGCTCTAACCACTGCACCACCAAGGCTCCTAATGGTTGGCTTTACTTTACTTTATATGCTTATTATATACCCACATCTGAGCTACTGTTAAGGATTGTTTGTAAACTATAAACTGGAAAGTGATTTTAGATCTTGCAATAATATGTATGTTTAAATATTTCACTGGCATATAGGAAAATGACCAGAGCACCAGCTTTGTACTTTTCTAGCCTGTGTGCTTGCATACAAAAATCAAATTGTACAGATGTCTTCTGGTGTCATCAGGGATAGTTTTGTTCAATATGTTCAATAATGTTCTTTTTCTTGGATTGGAATTTAGAATTATAATCTGGAGTAAGACAACAACATTAGTTAGTGTTAACCATGGTTAAATATTATGTCTTTACTGTATTAGTATTTGCATATTGAATTGAAAAATGAGGTTTGTGTGGAGCAAAACAAACTGTTAAAACAATGTAGCTCATTACATTAAGAAATGATATTAAATCTGAAGGTATTCTATAACCAACAAGTTCAAAAATTAATCATTACATTCCTCTTAGTTGCTCTAAAGATGCCCTTACTATCTTTTAAAGACATTTCTATTACACATTTTATATTTTATCAGGTTTATTTAAGATTTTAATGGTAACATAATATTGAGATATGTTATTTATTTCATCTTACCAAAAATTTTAGAGAAAAAAAGGGTATGGCCTTACATTTGGATGTCCATCACGGAGAAGCTTGTGGAAGACATGGCAAAACTTCCAGCACAGGACAGCATTGCTGGAAAGGGGTAGGCGGTTTACAACAGACCAGAAGGTGTGGGCTCCTTTTTCATGGTGGGTTCCCAGGATGCATGGTGAGAGATAAGCTAAGGAAAATGAGAGAAAAGCAGCACAAAGGATATAGAATAATGTGAAGAAAGAGTGTCAATGAGCAGGATGGAAGGGAGGCCTGGAAAATCAAACTCTATCAGATCTACCTTAATATCACTTAGCTGAATTCACAGATATATCTTTTTCTTTCATTCTCCAGCAACATGATAAGATTTACAGAACTCCAGATGGGAAACTAGCCTGAAGATACATGGGGAAAAGCTCTGATCTATTGTAGTTATTATTTTCCATACCAAGCTGGAGTTTCTTTCATTAGCAGTTGTCTATTATCCTTCCAGATGTGAGAAAATATTCCAGCTATTCCAGGAACTGATGGCTTCTCAGGGTATAGACTAGATTTGCTATACTCAAGCTAAGAATCTTGGAGAAAAATTTGTACTTGTCTTAAATGTGTACTTGTCTTAAAATTCAAACCTAGCTTGCATACTTGGGGGGGGGGGCATTGTCCCAGCATGTACTTTTCTACAAAGAAAAGTTAGGAGCAAGCTCCTTTTCATATTATAATGCAGGTATTTCATTCCAGTTCATCACAGACAGATCATGATGGAATTTGACTCCAGCCAGATACATCCCACCTTTCCAGCTTCAGAATCCTTTTTCCAGAGCTCTAATTTTAAAAGGATATTTCTGGCATGTTTCTCTTTGACAGCAACTTCCTGAGCATTAATGGCCTTGTTGATGCTGACAGTCTTTAAAAGAAAGAGAGAGAGAGAGAGAGAGAGAGAGAGAGAAGGAAGAGGAGACAAATGTTAGTAAGAAAGAATATGATCATACAGAAACCCATCCTAACACCAAGCCCTCCATAATCTGCAAATTCCTGGACACATATTTGGGAAGCAACTGCGGGCTGCCATATATAGCAACGGCCAAGAAATGTTTGCTTAGAACAATGCAAAGATTCCAGTCAGAGTAAAAAAGAATTCCTAGGCTGGAAGAAGGCAAAATCAACCCATCTTGGTTGGTGCGAGAGCATAGAGGCAAATATTTGTCAGGGTGATAGTAATTATTGCTCTAACTGTTCCAACTTTGTTAACTTATAGCCCCATATTTTCCACTTGTTAAAAACATAAAGTTAGCTGTGTTTGGTTCATAAACTGATGAATGAGTACTAATATTTTGGGGATGCAACATGGCAACCAATTGACACCACCAACTTCAAATTTATGGTATATTTAAGTGGAAGAACCACATAGTAGATTGCACTGGTCTCTTTATCTACCATAATATGTAGGAAGACCCATTTACCTACTGGTAGTCCAACGATGTGCTGAAAACTGCCGCTAGAAAGCAAGGAATTGGGTGAAAAGAGAACTATGCCGAGATATGAGAGAAAGACTCTAAATTTTGCTTATATGTAAGCCAGCAGGTTTGGGCGTAAATACAAGTGAAAGCAGTTTCAAAAAAATTAAAACTGCCTTTATAAAATACTGTAGCCTTATTTTGATAGAATTTTTTAGTAGCTGTTCTATTAAGAATACTCCTGCAAGAGACCTTGGAAAATCTCAAAATCACCTCACTTTAAAGTGGCTTATTATTTTACAAAAATGGAATGAAGGAATATTTTTCACTAGTGTATATAGTTCCTGGAAAAAAACAAGCAATTTCAACAATTAGAAAACAACTCTCCTATTTGTCTCTCGATGGAGATAAACACAGGAATAATTATATGTTTTGCCATCTTTGTATCCTGTCAAAGAGAACTAAGGCTGTCACCCCAAATGACTCAGCATTGTCCATTACGTTGCTCCATATTTGGATATCATAAAAGGAACTGATGCTTGCTTTCATCTTTTTTTTAAAAAATTGCATTGTTTTAAACATCATATTGTCACATTGGATATCTACTGTTTCAGATCACAGATCAGTAGGGTCTGGTCTAGGGTCAAAATGGACTCCCAAGCCTCGATATCTGCTGCTACTAAGTTGGGTCAAAACAGACTGTTCAACCATTTATGTCATAGTTGGTGAGCAGAAGAACCAAGATCACAACCAGATCTATTTTATAGATCCTAAGCAGTTGCTAATCAAGAATGATTTTAAAACAATGGCATGGTTTCCTGCCATTTAAGGAAAATGGAAGACAATATATATCCTAAATCAGATTTCCATAGTGAAAATGCCCTCTTAAGGTATATATAACTCAGGAGACAAAAAGGCAGAAAACATTAACCATATCCATGTGCATAACATGGTTCTCCCCAATTTGCATCATTTTATTGTTACAAAACTTACTTGCCTTTAAAGTGTCTTTACTCATTACCTCCTGTGCAATAAACTACAGTACATGGAGAATCTATTCTGAATGGTCCAAAATAAAAGGCATCAGGAAATTACTAAGATAGGGTATCAGGACCATCATGTCCTATTCTGGTACTGGGAGATGCAGTGTTTTGTTTTGGGATACTCAAAAATGATTTTAACCTGTGACTGACAGCATAGGTGGTTATAAACCGAGGAGGAAGTGGAAAGATTAATAACTAAATAATTTACAACCAAGTAAGTAGAATGGAAGATAACTTCCCATTTTTTCACACACTTCTAGGATTCTGACTGTAGGAAAAAAATAGACATGACTCAGAAATCCAAAGTGAACATTATAAAATATTTCTTATTTTAATATGTAACCCACAAGAAGGAAAACTGAAAAACTAAAACATTTAACGAAAGCCCTCCTAATACTGGGCCACTGTGCTTATGCAGGGAATCTGAAATGTTCCCTTGGGCATTTGCAATGTTTGAGAACCGGATCCTGCCTCTTAGGAAGCTAAGAATGTTTTTTTTCCTGGCTCTGCCAAGTAGAGTCTAGATTTAAACTCAGACGAAATATTCTTTGGAAAGTCATCAAGTTCTCTTTTTAAAACCACAGAGATCTTGATCCTTTGCCTTGTTATGAACTATTTAAATCTCCCCTGACATCTTACAAAGAAACATTATCAATTGGAGGGGGAGGGAAGGAAGGAAAAAGGAAGTTGCATTGGCGAACCAAGTCAACAGCCAATACTGTAAATGCAACTTTGAAAAAGCTTTCCTTTGGAGGAATTCTAATCACAGCTGCAGAACTGTGAATGAGATTTCTCTGACTCAACTGGGGGAGGGACTGGTGGGGTGCAAGGGCGAATTTTGAAGCCTCATTTCCTTCCTGCTGTACCAGCTGAAGAACCAGCCTTCTCTTTCCTAGATTTGTATACAGAACTGGTCTTTCTCAGGGTTGAAAGCCTCCATAACTCACAAAGGAGGGAAGCGGTCAATCTTCAGCCAAAAGAACTTCATTCTTTAACACTTCTTGTTTCAACAACTCTGTATGGAACAGGTTCCAAAAAAGGCAATTATCAGCTGCAACATCAGCTTGCATGCTAGATGACATGTGCCCTCCCTTTCACCAACTATAATAGCAATAGAAAACCAAGCACTGGATAGTCCTACTTCTCTTAAATTATCCCCCTAAACAGAGTAAAGCCATATAAGAAATCCTAGTATAACATAAATATGGAAATCTCTGCTTTCAAAATGCCAGCACTTTGTCTCTTTCTCTTAACAGAAACATCTTGAAGTGTTGGTATTATTAATTATAAGATCTGCAAAAAAAACCTTGTTTGGTTTAAATCTTTTTGATTTCTAGCCATATTTAGTATGTAATTTGACATGCAACTCTGGACCCAAATGTGATGTCTCTCTTGAATCCTAGAGGGGAGCCAAGTATCTCTCATGGAAAGCCAAACCCCCCCCCTTTTTTTTTTACTGCTCTGAAACCCCTGAAAATTCAGTGGCAAAGCAGCAATTAACCGAGGTGCAATTTCCTGCTGATTTTCGGATACAAATAGCATTGAGAAGGCTAAACCCAACTATCTGCATCACCGAACCATTTACTACCCACAGTAGTTTGGCTGCCAAATGAAAAAGGAATGTGTCTCAGCCACCAAAAAGTTGTCCACGCCAGTATGGCTTACTTTCCAATCCATGCTCATGAACTCTAAGATGAAAATTAGTTGGGTCAAAGAGGCATACGTTTAATACTGGCTCTATACCAGGGGTGTCAAACTTGCGGCCCGTGGGCCAGATGCATCACGTGTTGGCCCTGCCCCCACCCAGTTTAGAGAAGAGGGAAAAAGTCCCGATACGTCATGTGACGCCGCCATGATGCCGCGAGTTTGACACCCCTGCTCTACACAAAGATTAAACTCATAAGTGACTTGCTTTAGAAGCAGGCAATCTTGGGTCAGCTAATTACATCTTCTGAGGATGTCTGTAGACTCAGAAATAGAAAGGGGGAACCTGCAGATTAAATTTAAGTTGAGAGACAATAAACAGTAAACACTGCTTCCTTTCATAGAACACAGAGTACCTAAGCTATTAAGAATAGAGACTGTGGAACCTCAATTGTAGAGGACTGTTCTTCAGTTCTAGCTTGGTTATGCGTCCAGGTTTCATTTCAGTATAACCCAGGTCCTTTCTGCCATCTTTCCAACTGTCCAAGCAAACTGATAGAAGGTACACTTAAATTATAAAAGAGCCCTAATCAAAGAACAGGTGGAAATTCCAATCCTGCAAAAGGAAGAATTTTTCTCTCCAATGCCAAATATGAGTGGAACACAAGCTTTCAAGTGGACAGCTTGGTTAATAACTGGGCTGAAGAGCAATGCACTGGATGCGTCTCTAGTCTTACAACTTTCTAATGTAATGTAGGAAATCTTTTGGAGGCAATATTAACATTATTGGGAGTGCTTGAGAGCTATAATGAGAGGTAGACATTCACACATACATATGAAGTCAGGGTTTTTGAGAGCTTGTTTTTTTTTTTTTAAAAAAAAAACCTCTATTGTACCCATTTTGATGCTTTTATATGCATGGTATTTTATGTTTCCTGCCTCAAACTGATGCGAAACGACTACTGGTTTTTGAGTATGGTAGAAGAAGGCTGAGAAATGAGAAGACATACGTACCCCTGAAGTCTTAGATTACATGTCACTGATCTCTCAAATAATAATGCTTGCTACACAATAATTCATCTAGGGCTCAGACACATAGACCATACTGTATTTGTCCAACTGTCCAGGCTGAATATTTTTGGCCCAGCTTACAATGTATCTGACAGAAGAAAAAACAAAAAACAAAATGCCAGCATGGATCCAGATTTTATGATATTAATATCTGGAAAAGTGTCTATTATGTTCCAGATCTGATTATCAAAAACAGCAAAAGCAAATTTTTTGGCAATTATTTTTTGTAAAACAATATTTTCAGGACAGACATTGTATCTCCATGAAGTATTCTAAAAGGGACATTTTAAAAAACTGAATATAAAAGCAGAAGTGAAAACCCGAACATTTTATTAATACCATTTAAACTAAATTTGGGTAATGGAATGAATATTCATAATGTGCCAGACAGTAAGGTTGGTAAGTATGGAGCTCTTTGTACACACACCATCCACCTTCATTTCCGGGCACCTCCAGTCTTTGCCAGATGGAAGAGGCCCACATCCATCTCCTCTTTCATTCAGGCTTAGCTCACATCACAGAGGAATATTTTACCACAGATAAACAGCCACCAAATTTTACATTCTTATGCCCCAATGATATTACCAAGCCTGATAATGAAATGTCTGCAGGAAGAAAAGCAGACTTAAAGAATACAAAGAAACCGAACATAGATGGTATTGATGAGTTTAGCTTTGAAATCATCTCAAAGA